AATTAGCCGAGAAAGAAACATGCTCACTATTCAGATCAATTCCTGCATCTAACTGCCAACTTTTTTCTGATGCCAGGTCTTGCTCGCCATATTCGTACCGGTTCGTTCCTTCGTGTGCACCATTGCTTGCCAACTCAGGAATGCCGGGGGCCCTGAAACCCTTTGCCAGGTTCAGCTTAAGCACAACATTCTTACCAGCCTCATAACTAAGACCAGCACTTGCAGAAACATTTGCGTATTGTTTAGTAAAGCCGGCGAATTTCAGCGTTGAGCCATCCATTAGTTCTTTCGAATTAAGCTCCCGCCTGTCAACTCGCAATCCCCCACTCAAAGTGACAGCATCAACTGTCTTGCGCGTATACACAAAACCTCCCACATCAAACAATGTATAATCAGGAATCAGCTGTTCTAATCCCCTATTCTTATTTAATTGCTGCATGCCATTCACACCAATGCTTGTCTTCCAATTATTCTTTTCCGCCCAATGGTATTGCACGTTATAATTAAGTGTTCGTAAATCGAACGACAGTTCCCTTTCTCCCTGGTCAACCACATTCCCAAACTCCTCCCGTTGATTACGCTGGTAACCAACATTAGCAGTGATCCGGTTTTTGCCCACATTGAAACTATTATCCGTCGTGATCTTAACATGCCTGATTCGCTGACGCGGAACAAACGGTCCTGTTGACGTAAAATCATTTTTAGTGGCAGGTATTAACTCCTCATTACCCGCGTTATTGACCAATTTTAAAAATTGACCGGAAGCATCATCCCGTTCCCCTTCAATAAGACCTGGCGATTGGTCGAAGCTGCTTAACAATAAATGGGTAAATCCCCATTTCTTATTAAGACCGATATAACCACCTGCGTCTTTCTCGCGAAACTTGGAGTTGAATACATAACCATCATATTTGTTCCTATAATCAGCTGCCGCTTTAAACGATCCATTTATTCCCCATATAAATCCGTGATGGTTTCCGCCGATATCTCCATGAAATCCCCGAAGACGGTTATTGGTTTGATAGTTACTAAATAAGTTTCCTTTTACTACACCCTGTGGCGGCGGTACAACGGAAATAAAATTAACGACTCCCGCCAGCGCGTCACTCCCGTACATAATCGATGCC